CCAGGAATTCCGGGAGTTCTCCGGGCAGCAATTTCCCTCCGCTGAGGGCAGGGTGGGAACTTCACTGGGGCTGGTTTGCAGGGGTGTCATGGTAAACACATATCAGGGTCTCAGCAGTCAAACATCTGAAGGCCAAAAAAAATGATGCCTCACCAAACCCCTGCATGCCGTAATTTCTAGGATGCAAGGCATGCCCTCCCCAACCCTGCCAAAATGGAGCTCTGAAAGGAAGGTACATCTTATACACCAGAAAAGTGGAAAGAGAAGTATCTGGTATTTGATATTAGACATTGCTAAGTTGAAGAGATGCCAGGGAGAGTCTGCAGGTCTGGTTAGGGAGAAAGGGCATGCGTGTCAGCACCCACGTCCACATACCAGGCAGCCCTCAGGTGCCACAATGCCGCCAGGGAAAGCAGAGAGGGTGAGGCTCGTAATGGCCCATGGCCATCTTCCCCCGTCGTATGCCCCAGACTAGTCCACATGGGGCTGCCACCACATTGTGCTCCTGTTCCTTCCTGCCGCATGGTCCAATGGAGGTCACCTCTGTAGGAGTGGGTCTCTCGTGCCATCCCCATCTTTGTCCCCTCTGTTTTCCTGCTCCCCTCCCAACTTCTCTATCAGCTGCCATAAGGACATGCATGTGAGAGCTTCCCTCTCCCCTGGGCCTCTCATCATTATGGTGGATATGGAATTTTTACCCGGTTTTATTCTTTGGGGGTGCGTCTTACACACTGAAAAAATATGGTATCTCCCATCATCAGTGACTTTCCTGTAAGAGCTGTGCTATGGTAAAAGTGGCAGCTTAGTGTCTTCTATAAACTAACCCCAGAATGAGGCCTATGCTAAGGAACTTGCTCCAGTTTGAACACAAGAATAATGCAGTGTCAAAATTAGACACCTAGGTCCCCTGATGCTGCCACCTGATCTTAAAGAAGCCACTTGGCATACGTATCCACTGCATTTAACTCAAGCGATGGGTCTCTGGGTTTGCCTAGCTCCAGCAAGACAGGCCACGCAGCAAAGACATGCCCAAGACACTGGCCTTACAGATGATGCATTTGCCTGTGTCCGCCTAGGACTTCTGGGAGTCCAGTCCATTGAACCCACTAATCTAGGTCATTTCTTCTGCACACACAGGGGAATTGCAGGAAGGCACTGGAGGACTCTCAGCACTGAAGTCTCTGCCCTCATGGCAAAGAAAGCAGGTTACAGTCCAACAGAAAGCAAAAGTTGGCTTTAACTTCCCCTCCCTACGAAAACCATCAGCCTGGCTTGAAAGCACTACTTATTTTATGCACAGACAAGTGGGAGGGCAAGGGAAATACCTGGTAAAAGCCCAGGTTAACATTTTGATGAAGACATAGCCATGAGGAGCATGGAAGGTGATGCCCCCACAACCACCACCCCCAGTGATGTGCTGCAGGCCCAGCTATCCCAGCAATACCAGAGGAGAAGTCATTACATGTTTGATGGGATGGGATTTATCATCTGGTAGGTGGTGCTGTTCTGGCTGCCCTTGCTCCTGGTTCCTGCTATTCCCTACCCTGGTTCAGCTGCCTTATCTCCCATCTATAAGGAAGGACATCCGCTGCAAAATGAACAGCTGCCAGAACCCAAGGGCACTGGGAGCAGAGTCTCCTCCAGACTCCAGTTCCCAGGAGGGCTTTACTTCTACCCCCAGGACTATTCCAGGCTCGGGAAGTTTCTGCCTTTATTTCCTGTCTTCCCATTCATTCCTCTTGCTTTCTCCCTCTTTTCCCCCTCACTCTCTTTCTCCATCTTTCCTTTCCTGCAAGTCTCCCATACCTTCCACTTCTGTCTTATCTGACTCTCTCTCTCAATATCAGGTGGTTTTGTTTTAAGGATTATGTATTTAAAAGGTATAGAGTAAGCACACACACAAAAGGTATAGGGTGTGCGTGCGCACACGCGCGCACACACACACACACACACACAAAACCAAGGAAGGGAATGGCACTATGAAACTGGATCCCAGTGGAGTCAGAGAGAAGTCTGTGACTGCTGCCTGCCCTGTAAATCCTGAAAGACCTTTCCCCCAAAGGCTAGGAGGAGGAAGGAATTGGAAGGAGTAGATAAAAGGAGGGGAGAGGAGAGATTAGAAGAGAGGAAAAATGGATGGAAAGCAAAATAAAGCACTGGTGTGAACAAGGCAGCAAGATAAACAGCCAAAGGCAGATTGATGGAGCAGTAAAGATCTTTCTATAAAGCAGTTAATGCTCTAATAAAAAATCATTTTTACTATCAAGCTATAAACTGGCTTCTCTCTATCACTGCCCAGGCTCCAGTGCCAGACCTGGTCTCCAGGCTCTCGCCTGGGCAGAGGGAATTCAAAGCACTGGGAACCCCTACTTTGAGGTGCTCAGTTACTGCTGGGATCAGCATGGTAATCCCAGCCCAGCACAGGGGTATAAGGACAGAATATGAAAGTATTCAGGAATTCAGCCTCACAATGCCACAGGCAACTCCACTAGTAAAGATGAGGAAGCAAGACACCACACAGACTAATAAACTGATTGAGGTCTTACTGGGAGCTAAGCATAAAGCAGAAAAATCTGCTGTATGCCAGCTCAGTTTGCCAAGCACAAGGCCATCCTGGCAATGGAGGTGCAGTTATTTACAGATACACATCTCATCCTTCCCAGTCCAGCTAAAATCCAGACAAGCAGCATGGCCACCATGGTCGTGGGGGCACTGCCTCCCCAGCATGGCTTCCAGGAGCTTCCAACTATCACGGGACACATCCCATTGATTGTCCCACACATGGGGATTGATTGCTTTTAAATTGAAACTGGCTGAAAGCAATCATTTATCTGTGCTTTACTACAACTTTGAGTCTGTGGCACACTTGCTTCACATTTTCAAGTCTCTTCAAACCCACAAGGACTACAATTGTATTTGCCCATTTCTAGTCCAAAGCTAGGACTCTCAAATAGTCACATGACTCCAGGAGTTGGGGCTTGAAGAATAACACCACATGTTACCAGACTCGTGATCAATTGGCAAGGGTTGCATCATTGCAAGCATGCACACACACACACAAAGATAACAACATAGCATAGTCTTCCTGCAAAATCCCTTCCTGGAATCAAGGCATGTAGAAAAACACTTTCAAAAAGAATGTGTCCCTTTAAAGGAAAATACCAAAGATTCGTGCTTGGCAAGGTGGCATCACTGTTGCAGAGGCATCAGATCTTCAGCAGATGAGGAGCCTGGCGTCCTGCAAGCACCCAGCTGTGCATCACAGTGTAGCAGGGGAAGAGGCCACTTGCACTAACAGGGAGACACTACGGAGACGCACAGGAGGCTTGGCAAGGACAGCAGCAGCCCGTGCATCTGTCTCAACACTCCCGGTGCCAGCCAGAAGGGATCTCCTCCAAGTGCAGGAGGCAGCATCAGTCTCAGCAGACCTTACCTAGCAAAGGGCAATCTACCATCATCCCACGTCACTGCAAGCTAGAAACCTGAAAACCAGGGGCAAGTCTCTGTCTCACTTGGGACAAGTGACTACAGATTAGCGCAGGCCCTCAGGATGGACCTGTGTGTAGAAGGCAACAGGCACAACTACTGCCTAATTGGCACATGGGGACCATACCTAATCCCCAGAGCTCTGACCCCCAAAACACAGGCCTTGACCCACTAAGAGCTCTTTTGGCTGTTAGTCATATGTCCTTTATCCTAAATGTGGGCCCAGCCACTGGGGCCGTGTCACTCACAAGGCTAGGATTCACACACTTAGGGGGCGGGGGTTCACAGGTACGAAGGAGAGGTAAGTGGCTGTATCCCACTTCTACCTCTGCATGCCAGAATCCACCTCCTCAACCCTGCATGAAACATGCTCTGCAGTGGGCTGGTAGCCTCCTGAACACCAAAAGGTTCCCAGCCCATACGCCCGAGCCAGACCAGAGTCCCTTCCCCAGTGAGCTGAGGCCTCCGGTCAGCAGGACTCACTGCTGCAATGCAGGGCATCGCACGCTGCAGTGTCTCCATAGTCCACCCACACTTGGGAATCTGAGAACTCGGTGAACACGACGCCCAGGGAGGGATTCATGCAGCCCGTCACACAATGCTAACAGCAGGCATCTTGGAACCCCAAAGGCCTCATCTCCAAGAGAACAGCCCAAACCGAGCAGTGCACCATCTGTCTGCACACGCACCTCGGGCAAACCCTGCTTGAGCTAACACCAACACAGCCTGGAGTCCAGCGACTGAACGCAAAGAGCAACAGCTAATCCACGACAAAGGAGAAGGTGGGAACTAGTAGGCAAATACATCTGGGAAAATCACAGGCAGATCCCAGGTGGCGCAGGAAGGGAGCATGGGTCGAACTTCACCTGGCACAGGGGGCACCTGCAAAGCTGTTTGCTACCTCATCAACCTGAGCCCTGGAAAGGAAGAGCAGTATTGCAGCTCCACAACCCTGGGAGGAGGCCATCTCCACCCCGCCAGGGTGAGGAGCATCTCTCCTCAATACATACGTTTCCTTCTCTTCCCCTGGTAAATAGGCAGCCTTGATGATGCTTGTGCTTTTGTACATCCAGCATGCAAAGGTATTACTGGACAGGGGGCTTTCAACTCGGAGAGCGGTCAAAAGTACGCCTTGAGGGATTGTCAGTGATCAGAGCATCACAGTGCTGCTAGTCATAGTCGCTAACCACATCTTGCTCTCCTGGAGCTTTTTAGCTACATATCAAGCTTCTGTGGAATATGTACTTGCAGACTAAAATGACTTTAAGAAATCAGCAAATAAAAAAGAAGACAACGTCTCCCAGAGAGAGCAGAGTATATGATCCTCTTTGTGACAGCCTGCAGTGACTCCGAAAACAAAATGGTTGCGAGGTCAGCAGGCTCTGCTCCAAGAAGCCGTGGGAGCCCGCGAGTCTGTGATGGAGATGGCCTGCTCAGCGTACGTGGGGATCATCAAACCTTTAAGGGGCTCAGACTTCCTGAGGGACGGCAAGAGCCGAAGGGGTCAAACTCACCATGAGGAAGATCAGAAGACAGATGAGGCATGATATAGCTCCGGATCAGCTCCCACTCAAAGTCATCCTCCTCTCCTTGGCTGTACTCACACTGGTTCAAATCTCCATCCTCCTCAAAGGTGCAGCCAGCTGCAGTCGGGAGAGGGAGAGAGGGAGAAAGAAACCATCAGTGGCAGTGGAGAGGAAGCAAGGGGCCGGCAGCAAAACCACCCGCAGGCCCAAGTCAGAGAGAGGGTGGGAACTGCCTTATAGGTCTGGGCAAAGCTAACCACCCATCTCCTCTCCGAGAGGGCATCCCAACCCACTGGCCCAACAGAATGGGCTCCACTGAGAGAGACTGTGCCTTCTTGCACGTACGAGGCCTGAACAGCGACGCTGTACATAAGGCATCTGACTTATGGCACAACATCCCTCAGCACGTGTACCCGTACACACACAGGCACCCCCCAACTCCAAGAGGCCACCCCCTCAAATGCACGCAGACCCTGGCAAATGCAAACCTCCCCTCACACACACCCTTAACCCTCCGCTTTCTAATGCCGCCTTTCCCCCATTAAACTGCCCACCAGAATGCATAGATTAAAGCCCGTCTTTTCCATCACCCCTCAGGTGTGCCAAGCAAGGTGGTGGGGATGACAGGGGCAGAAATGGGACACGGAGAAGAAGATTACTCAGGAGGCAGCAGCTGGAAAAACATTTTGGGATCATTTAGGATTTGCATTGCGAGCACTGAGCCTGCCTTGTCCTCCAACAGGCTCTGAAATGAGCCACTGTGCAGGAAGATGGGTTTTTAAATGGAGATTGCCATGTTATTTCTTTTCACTGGAGCAGCTAAAATGCAGGGGCAGTGGAGGAGGGGGTAGGACTGAGTGGTAAAAAAAATCAACTGCCTTCTCTTCATGCAGCCTGGGCAACACATGGAAAACACTGCCCTGTTCAAGAGGCAACCTCCAGAGTAGCAGCCCCAGCAGACGAGGAGGAGCAGATAATGCTAAAAACTCTGGCTCTGGGGCTTATTCTAATCCAGGATGTCAGGCGACCTCAGGTGGTGATGAAAACGGCACAGGCTGAGTTGGTCTGCAAATGGGATTACACGACAGGGTTACTTGTGATGAGTGAAACCCCTTCCAGTCCTACACCCTGTTTCCAATCCTCACCACAGTTACTGAGTGCTTAGCACCCAGGCTGGTTCCCCACAGACCTGGACGTGAACCTCAGCTATTGCTCCAAAAACCCAATCCCTTTATCCCTCAAGGAAGCAAAGCCTAGGGTAACGCAGCTAAAATCAGCCGCCCGCATTCCTGAGAGGTGACCAGCACACTCTCCAGGGCTATAAATATAGATGATGATGATATTTAAGCAGTTCTATCTGAGAGATGCGCAGTTCAGAGGGGAACAGAGCAATTGTTGGTATTATTCTTTTTTAAGCGCAGCATAAAACAGCAGGCAGTTGAACAGGAGGTAACAGTCACCGAATGAAACATGGGAGCGAGAGAATATGTGGGTATTTAGCATCACACATGGCCTGAGGTCTCTGGAGGTGGTGAGGGTCAAATGTAATCCCCTACCTCATTCATTATTTGTTCCCATCTAATTAACCATTAGGAAACTAGGAGAAGTCTCTTTATTGCGTGTGTGTAGCATGCGAAGGCAGGCAGGGCGTGATGGCTGGTCACCGGCTTTGGTAACAAGCAAGTCTCTTGTAGCGAGCTCCAGCCGTGGGCAGGGATGTGCATTAACAAGAAGAACCTAGTGACAGACCTGAACCGCAGCGCTGAAATCCAGACCCAGATTTCACCCCAGATTGTGGTCAGAGTTGCAGGGTGTTGACATCATGGCAGGGCTGCTGTGCCTTGGCCAACAGTGACCAGTTACAAAATATGGATATGAAATCAAAACCAGCTCCAAAGATGAAGGGGCTGGAGCTGAGCCAGCCTTTAGCGCACGCCTCTCTTCTACCCCTTCCATGCATGTACTGCCGCAGGATCAATCCCTCCTCACAGCCCACCGCACTCTGGGCACCGGCCACAGCAGTGATATAATGGATTTCAAGAGATGATGTAGTCAATGGCACTAAAGAAAGAGACGGGAACCTGGAGTAGTGGGAGGATGCAGTGGCAGGGATAGACAGCTGTCACTAGACCAGAGCTTTCCAAACTTTTCATGTTGGTGACACACTTTTTGGACATGCATCATTTCGCGACACGGTAATTCAGTTCCGGGGGAGGGGCCAAGGGAAGCAGACGCGAGTAAGGGAGCTCCGCGGTGCCCTTCCGCAAAATTTTCTGCATTTCGTGCAACACACCTACACACTGCCGCCGACACACTAATGTGTCGCGGCTCACAGTTTGGAAAGCTCTGCACTAGACAAAGGCAGCATCTGGACAGGGGCTGTGCAAGCTTCCCCTGCATGAGGCTCTTCGCTCCCAAGCCCTGATGAGTCCAGACCCAGCCCCAGCTCTGACAAAGCAGAAGGACTGAATCTCTGCCTGTTCCAGCACAGGGGCTTCCCATTCATCCCAGCCTGCAGCAATGCCTCTAGGGTCTGAGTCACACTGGAGCAGAGGCCATGGCTGCAGTAAGGCAGGGGCAAGGCAACTGCTCTTGGAGATCTCTGCCAAGGACCTCAGCTCCCAACCTGCAGCCCCTGCTATTACAGCTCTGGGCTGGCCCTCTCGCCCAACCCCAGCTGCACGTGGATCCCGACTTGCAACCCATTGCCGCAACTCCGGCCCCAACTAGCCCTGAGCAAGTAGCCAAGCATGCCATGCCTGCAGTGCCCTCTGCTGGCACACGGCACGGGTCCTGCTGCCTCCTCTGAAGCAGGCAGCCCGGGGCCACCTGCTGTGCATGACTGGCAGCGCTGTACTCACATTAGCACGTAATCCTGTGTTTCGGCATCTTATAAAATTACAATTATGTTTTATCGTGTTGTAAAAATCAGAAATGTGGTTTATTCCCCTCCTCTCTCCCTCCTCCCACCCCACAGCTTGATTGCTGCAGCTGCAAAACAAGGCAGGCAGGCACGCAGTTCCCCGTGTGATCACCTTTTCACCATCATTAACTGAAACAAGCCATCAACACTTATGTGCCCAGGGAGGTGTTTCCACGGTTCCCCTGCTTCAAGATGCCAGGGCATTGCTCCTTTAAATGGCTATGAATGTGGGGGACTGGAGGGGAGAAGCTGCCTGGTGAGATCATTAAGGAGGAGGCACAATAACTAGGAAGCTCCATGGTTGCGGGTTCAAATCCAGATCAAGTTGCCAGTAGCTGAATAACAGGCGTGTCCAAAGGCAACTCTGTTCTCCTGGAAGTAAAACAAGGCAGCAGGTCTCGGTTCAGCTCCTGCTGGAGAGGAGATGATATCACTGCTGATCTTTTTCCAGGTAGTCACAGCAGGCAAGGTGAGGACTGAAGAGAGACAAGAGGCTGCACTCGTGCCAATGGCAGAGGAGCAATGTTCAAGAAATCTGGGTTCAGCTACGAGTTCTGCTGCACTCCGCACATGGCCTTGAGCTATTCACTTCCACTGGGATTTCTAAAAGGAGATAGCAACCAGGCTCCCACTGCAATCCCAGGAAAGGAGACTTTTACATCCCCGAGGCCCCTCAGATGAGGAGCCCAGCCACTCTCAGCTCCTCATCTCTGAAGCAGGACAAGAGTCCATCTTTTGTCTGCCTTGTCTCTTTAGGCTTCGAGCTCTCTCCAAACGACTGGTTCCCACTCCATCCATTCCACAGCTGGCACAGCCAGTCCCTCATCTCAGTCATGGTGCTATATAGTAGCTGTATACCCCCCCTACTACAAATGCCAATCCTACAGTGTGGATAGATGAGATACCAATATTAAATTGCACTGAGATGAATTATTTGAATACAATGGCTACATCTGTCTGTATCTACACTAAGTGAAGCTAAACTGTCATTTTAAACCTGGTTCATTCAGAGTAAAATTACAGTGGTTTACCTCACTTATACTGTACCAAAAAAAGAGCAGACAGATAGGAAGAGGTGTTGCATGCTCTTGAGCAGGAAGTTCCCTAACCTTGTTTAAAATGGTTTAAAGTTATGTTTACTAGACGTACACTGATACATCAGTCCCATATCGGATAGGCACTGATAAGGAAAATTGACAGTATCAGCAATCAGCTTTTTTTCCCTGATATGGCCAATAACGTGGCCAATAAATGCCCCGTGCATGCGCATAGCCGCAACACGCATGCAGCCAGGAGCACAGCCCGGCATCTTGGAGAGCAGCGTTGGCTGGTAAGTCTGTTGTGGTGCACAGATCGAGGCCCCCGCGGTGAGGGTGGGAGTGGGGCTGGGGCTGCCCAGTCAGGGCAGGGCATGGGATGGAGCCGCGAGCAGCTTGTCCAGAAGGGCGTAAGGGGGTGCCCACTCCCGCCACTCAATGCACCCCAGAAGGGCATGGGGGGTGCCCCTGGATCTGCACTGGGCAGGGCGGGATGCTGCTGCAGGCTGGGGCAAGGCCAGCATCTTCTCAGTGAGGGCTGGGGCGGGTGGCAGCAGTGCTGCAAGCAGAGCTAAGGGGCAGGGGGGGGATGGGGGGGACTACAGTGAACTTTGGGGTAGCTGCAGCCCCCCCTGTAGCCCCCATCCCAGCACCACCTCCACCCACTCTGAGCACAGCCCAGCCCAGCCCCTTCCCAAGCCTGCAGCAGCAGCCCACCCTACCCCACATACATCCAGGGGCACACACCCTCCATGCCCTCAGGAGCAGGAGCCACCCCCACAGCCCCCAGACGAGCCACTCATGCCTCCATCCCGTGCCCCGCCCCAGCCCCACTCCCTCGCTCACCGCAGGAGCCTCCATCTGCCCTCCCACCACAGATTACCAGCCCAACGCTGGTCTTCAAGCTGCCCAGCTGCATATTGGAATCAGATTGGTATCAGCCGATATGGCTCCTTAAAAATATCTATTGGTGCACCCCTAATGCTTACCCACAGTGCCAGTGAGTAAATACTGAAATCCTGAACCTGCTGACTATAATGTGGACAGGATTCTATTCAAAGGCTGCTAGAGATATTTCCTCCAGGGCAGACAGGAGGTAAGTGAGGAAGCTAACCCTGCTACGGCACATGCTGTGTTTTGGCTATGGTTAAGTGAAG